TGTGTTGCCTTTAAGGCATTTTGTTAAATAAATAAGTCATGGGTTAAATAAGTAATATTAAAATGTTTACATGCTGCTAAACGTAATTAGAAGTTGAACAGTTGTATAATTCATAGTTTATTTACGTTTTTATTGAAAATTATTATTGGAAAAACTACTTCCGGTTCGCGGTTACGCACTTCCGGTTCGCGGTTACGCACTTCCGGTTCCGGGTTTTGGTCAGGAAAACAGCGAGGTCCATGCACGGCGAACGGTGTGAAATCTGATGCCATCCACGCCGAATTATCAGGCAGGAATGCCGTAAGTTACATGACATTGTTGATTATGTTGAAATGTCACTTTGTTCAGTTCGATGCACTTTTATTTTGTATGAAACGACTCTATGTACAGAGATTGAGTTTATTTTCTGTTATTACAGTTTTCATCGCATTTCGATGAAGGCAATAAATACGCTTTAATCGCACCTGGGTCTTCATTAGCGGTTTAACTCGGTGTCACCAACATCTACAAGGTTGAAAACACTACAGTTGCTTTAAGTAATTTTGACTTTTTAATTGAGAAGATTTATTGTTCCACGGAGGAAATAAGTCAGATTTAAGTTTTAAGGTGCTTTAAGGATCAGGGGAATACTCCGTAACGCTTGATATGGAGTTGTCACTTATTGTCATCTTATGTGCAAGATTAAAAAAAAACTAATCTTAACAGTCCTAACAGCCGAAACAAACTGTCGCTTGAAAAGCTCCTGAGCTGCCTGGATTTAATGTTACCTTGGAAACAAGCACTGGTGTCTCCAGAAATTGTAGAAGAAAAAGGTAGGACTATATACAATTTTCTTAACATGTGTTGTATATCCTCTTCAATAATCACCTACTTCTGGATAACATTCAAAGTAAATCAGCTAAAGCTAGAAATGTATTTTTAAAGAAAATCTTTGGGATGGATGGCTGAGAAATGAAGAGGGCCAGTCCTGCCTTTTCAGTGGGGCAAAAAGCAGCATCGATGTGACAACTGGGGTTAAACAGAATACTTTAAAACAATGGCTTAAAAACGAGCAGCATGATCAATTCTCTGCATTTCTCTGATATTAATTGATTAATTGATTTTTTTTAAACAACCATCTTATCACTGAAACAGCATCTTTTTTTACGACAAAAAGCAAAAGCAATTGATATGCAATGCTGTCAGTTAGTAGTATAATGATTTGTTAAATGTTACGATTGAGATTTCTGCTAACACAGAGATGACTTTGAAACATGAGCACAAAGTGGCCTTCCTCCTGGGTAAAAAAACAGAATTCTGCCCGTGTGTGTGTGTGGCAGGTGTTTTCACAGGTGTTTTGAGACAAGTTTGAATACATTTCCATTTTTAAGCAAGATTGGTATGCATGAATATTTTCATATTGGGGTGCTGCACAAACGTCTCTCTTTTTTTCTTCTTCTTTCAGATCAAGCAGCCCGTGATAAAATGGGTCATATTTTGTGCAGGTGTGAGCTGCGGGTACGCAAAGATTGGAAATGCTTGTTTTGGTTCTTTTTGTTCTGGAGAACATAAATGCATGGGAGTGGGACAAAGAGTCGATCAAAGTTTTGTCATGATGCATACGCGTTTAGACAGGTTTGGCACACAGCTCGCTGCTTTTATGCTGAGCTACTGCTGCAGAATTTGTTTGGAAAATGGCCGCTTTCGTATCTTTCGCTATGGATTTCTTGCTGTCGCCTTTAGTGCTCAGGCAGTAATACATTATCTCTCAATGTCCAGTCAAACATGACAGGGCAGTGAAAAGTTTAGGCCTGCCTGTAGATTTGGTCTATTTGGAGATTTGTTTCTGATGATGCAAGGTGGGACTCTGACTGAAAAGCCAAGCGGCTTCTGCGGTGACACAGATCCAAGTTTAAGGTGAGTGGCGCTGGCTTCTGTCAAACCCTGTAGTAATTTTTCCCAAGATTCAAAAGAACAATTAGGCAACTGGTACCAATTATCTGTCTTATCTATCTGTCCTATCTGTCCTATCTATCTATCTATCTATCTATCTATCTATCTATCTATCTATCTA